CGAATCTCCACGGGGAGTTCGTTACAGAGGGTCGGAGCAGCCACAGAGAAGGCTCTCCTCCGGGTAGTCGCCAGTCGACACTGGCCGGCGGATGGAATTCGGAGGAGGCCTAATCTGTGGGATCTAAATCAGTCTAGTGGAGGTAATTGGCAGGGTCTTTGCTGCCTGACCAAGTGGGAAGAATTGAAGTAATATTAGATCATTATTACATATTAATAGTAGAAGCAAGCAAATGATTCCTCAACCAAAGAGATGCTTGGACACCTCCTTGTGTTGCCCACAATTAATGATTGTCTTTTGCCCTTGTTTGGCATTTACCCTGGTAGACAGCAGATATTAACAGCTCAGAAGTGGAAGTCCTCTACTTACAGAATGTCACCATGGAGGATGCTGGTGAATACACCTGTCTGGCTGGAAATTCTATCGGCTTGTCCTACCAATCCGCCTGGCTTACCGTGCTTCCAGGTGAGAAAGAGCAGGGGTGGCACATTTCAAGGCTTGTAAGAAAGCTGTTTGTGGTTGCTTTGTTAAAACTAAACTCTTGATAGGAACAGAGTACAAAATACACACAGACACACACAGACACAGACATAAACACACTCAACTTTAGATAACCCCAAGACCACTTTACCAGTTCTATCCTCAAGCTATTACTGCTCAGGAAAACAGTTTGCTCTGCTTACAGCAAGGCAGTGCACAGATAACCTTCTGAAAAAAGAAATCTGATTAACTCTTTTTGTGCCCTGTCAGAATAAGCTGATATCATTAAAAATTGAGAGAAATTCTAGTGGCAACACATTGAAGTAGCAGACTTCTAATTGATTTAGTTTTACCAACTACCCAAGGCAGTTGCTATCACTTTAAGCAGGGGTGGGGAATGATGGCCCTTTTATGACTTGTGGACTTCAATTCCCAGAATTCCTGAGGCAACCAAGAGTTGAAGCCCACAAGTCATAAAGGGACCATCGTTCCCCACCTTTGCTTTAATGAAAGATCTGTTGGCATGACAGCTCCTTCCTCTGACCTATGGAAATATGCAGATTATCAATGCAGAGTCCTCTGGAGCAGATCCAAATTCCTTCCCTCATCCTTGTCAAAACAGCACAACATATAGAAAGTTAAAAGAATAAAAAGCTGGATGCTGCTGATAGACAAGAGGGAGGTTTTGTCTGCCTAAAACCTTGGGAACCATAATAGGAGCCAGATGGTTGACCACACCAGGAACATTGCTCACAGCGAGATGGGCAGAAAATAAATAAATAAAAAGAGAGAGGGGAGGGAGGAAAGAGAGAAAGAAAGAAAGAAAGAAAGAAAGAAAGAAAGAGAGAGAGAGAAAGAGAGAAAGAAAAAGTAATGGACATTTGCAGCTTAACATATCCAATAGCGGTCACATGCTCCAGCCTTCCAAGCAAACCTTTGTCTCAGAAATCCCGGGAAATCATGAAAATGGCAGCCCCAGAGGCAGGAGACATCACCATCCAGTGCAAACCAACCCTCTAACAAATTATAGTAACACGAAAAAACAAACAGCTAATATTCACCATGTTCAATGCAAACTACCACAAAATTTATCTGACTCCATACAGCAGCACGAGAACATCAAAGACAGGCCAAATTACAATCAGTGTGTCTTTGAAGCAACTTTTGAACTCATTTCAACTCTAGGAGGAGGCATGAGCCATATCATTCATTCATAGACTATAATACATTGCCAGGCACCCCTCTGATTGAGAAACAGTATGACAACAAAGGAAATGGGATAAAACATGGTGTTATTCTATGAATAAATAATGTTTTTTTAAATAATGTGAAAAAAAGTAGATAGTTATGGGTTGTTGTTGGTTTTTTTTGCCAGTTTCATTCCTCAAACTGAAATGAATAACATCTGAATGTTAACATATATCAGGGGCCTTTTAGAATACATTTGCCGAGAAATGATTGGTAGCAATAATAAATGTCAGATGCGAATATGTGCACATTTTGGAGTTTTTCTTAAAATGTAGATTTGTAAATAATTTATTATGTAAGATCACATTCTTAACAGAAAAAGAGAATTATAAGTGGCTTCCAGATAGCTGCCTTTGAAGAAGACCAACCACGCACTAAACAATTCAATATTTTTCCCTCTGCTTTAACATCTCCATACACATCTTCAGGTATTGACAGTTAGTTTAATTATAGAATTAATTAACTGAAGATTTATTTGCTATTTGCAGATGAAGAAGAAGTTGAAGAAGCATATGCTCCTGAAATCAAATACACTGATATAATTATCTACACTTCAGGGTCTTTAGCTATTGTTATGGCTATTGTCATTGTTGTCTTATGCCGCATGCAAAGTCAGTCAAGCAAGCAACCTCTAGAACCAATCGCTGTGCACAAACTCTCCAAATTTCCTCTGATCCGACAGGTATGTTGTAAAAACATTGACCTACTGAAATAACAGGACAATTAATCACTGGATTAATTATAAAGCTCCCCAATCATGAGTAAAGCTATCTGCAGGTAGCCCTTGACGTACAACCACAATTGAGCCCAAAATCTCTGTTGTTAGGTGAGACATTTGTTGATAGGTTTCACCCCATTTTATGACTTTCCTTGCCACTGTTGTTAAGTGAATCACTGCAGTGGATCGGTTAGGGTAAGGTTGCAAAATGTGATCACATGACCCTGTGACACTGCGACCATCATGAATATGAGCCAGCTGCCAAGTCTCCAAATTTTGATCACATGAGCATGGGGGGGGGATGCTGCAAAGGTCATAACTACAGTCATAAGTCACATTATTCAGTGCTGTTGTAACTTTGAACAGTCACTAAATGGAATGTTGTAAGTCGAGGCCTACCTGTGTAGCATGGAACAAATGTCGATTGTAAACAATAGGGATCTGTGGCGCACCAATGATTGCAAAGTACAAGCTCCCTACATCGTTAAGGGCTCCAAAAGAACTCTCGATATCTACTAAGGTAGATCTGCTACATTTCCCATATGTAGATGAGTCAGACCAGTTATGGAAAGACAGAATATTACTAGATGCACCTTGGATAGTGTATTAGAGACCTGTGGCATTTTGTCTCTCGAAACCAGCAGATTTAGACCCCGTCTCTTGCTGCTCTGGAACAGAACAACATTCGGGGAGAAATCTAATGTGTGTCTTCGGTTTACCTCACAGTTCTCCTTGGAATCGAGCTCCTCAGGGAAGTCCACAACGTCACTAATGCGTGTTACTCGCCTCTCCTCAAGCTGTACTCCCATGCTAGCTGGAGTGATGGAAGTGGAATTGCCATTGGACTCCAAGTGGGAATTCCCACGAGACAGGTAGGCATATAAGGAAGTGGGTTTTTTTTAATTGCATTTGATACTGAAAAAGCACAGCTACTTTTACGATATCTTAACCAACTGAAGCTGTTAAAAGATGAAAAATAGGGGGGGAAATGCTTATAATTTCTTATTGAGGTCTCTACTTATTATACTACAAGGAGCTGGTTCCCCCACTTTCTGCTGTTACCGAGTTTTTTACATCCACACACTAATGTTTTCTGTGTCTGTACAGACATGGAACTTAGTAAATACTGGTAATATGATAGTTCCAAAACGGCAACCCCATTCAGAAAAAATAAAGAAGGAATATGACACATGTACCTTGTTATATATCTGCGAGGCTTCCATCTTCATTTTACAACAAACCTCCACAGGCTAAGGCCTCCCAGATGTGTAGGTTTACAGCTGGATGTTGTGAAACACTGCTCCACAAAGAATTGTGCAGCAGACAAAAAAAATCAAAGTATCACAGTTACCCCCAGGCCAGTCAAATATGCCATATTTGTCCGTGTCAAAAATGCCCTTCAGTCACTCCTTTCTGGCATATAGGACTATCTGCTAATTGAAAGGTATGGAAAAGGAATTGCTATAGGTAGTCCTCGACTTACGACCACAACTGAACCCAAAAGTTACGTTGCTAAACATAACAGTTGTTAAGTGAGTTTTCCCCGTTTTACAACCTTTCTTGCCACAGTTAAATGAATCACTGCAGTTGTTAAATTAGTAAACCGGTTGTTAAGTGAACCTGGCTTCCCCATTGACTTCGAAGAGCCGAGGTGGCGCAGTGGTTAGGGTGCAGTACTACAGGCCACTTCAGCTGACTGTTATCTGCAGTTCAGCGGTTCTAATCTCACCGGCTGAAGGTTGACTCAGCCTTCCATCCTTCCGAGGTGGGTNGTGCTGTGTGTGAGGTAATTTAAGGTGGTTCTGACAAGTGTCGTCGGCATCTTCACATCCAGTCACATGGGCGGCAAGCCACTCCCATCTGATCACATGGGTGGCAAGCCACTCCCACAAAGGAAGCCACACCCACAGAGTAGGTTCGAACAATTTTTGAAACCCACCTGCATTTAACAATCATAGTGTCTCAGATTTTTGGGTATTAATTTATTAAATTTGTTATGGCTGCCCAATCTGGGCAGTTTATAATATTGAACTATAAAATTAAAAACACGATAACAAAGTAATAACCGCTCAGATTAGAAAATGACCATAACTAAAGAAAATGCCACAGGGCCTCCACAATCAAACTAATTCCAGGCCTTTGGAAGACATCTTCCAAAACACAAGGATGGCTATAAAAGTGGAGCTTCCTTTGCAAAACAACATCTACAGTATAAACCCTGGAGTAAAAATCTAGCGCTGCAGTGCCAACTCTCTTTATTTGCTATTTGTAAATGCTCTTCCGCCTAACATTTTGCCTCTTCTCGGAGAGTATAACAGTAAAAAATCCAAACCTCTCTATATGTGGCATCTATCCACTGTCCCATAATTACTTGGGGGTGTTTTAGTACAAAGCGTCATCTGTGCACATTTTGCTTTTAGATTCATTGGGTTCAGGAGATGATGATGAAGACAGTGATGTGGAGAATGCTGCTATTGAATCTAATGAGGAGCCTGTACACGCCCATCGAGGTTAGTATTGGGGTCATTAATCTATACTTATTCAATCTTGTGGACTGTGGCCCTTTAGGAGCAAAGACAAGGAAAACAATAGCCAGATATCTTCCCTCCATTGTAAATATCTCAAGGAACTCCAAAGTGTTGGTCAATTATTACCACCACTCTGCTACCAAGGATGGCGCATAACTCGGCCTGCAATTAGTGTCTTTCAGAATGTTGTGCATTCCAGGCAGAATGAATGCAGTGCTGTCATTCATTTTGGCACACCGTTGAGTGCCCGTGTAACATTTTCTCTTCCTTAAACTCTTGTATTGTTTTTTTCTCCTCTTGGAAGCCAGTTCAAGGTTCATCTCCTCCCTACCTCAGTTATAGCACAAAATCCACCTTTGTTCCCAAGAAGAGAACACTTGTGAAGCCTTCGCTAAAACCTGAATGGATCATGTCATTTTTTTTAGCACCCTATTGGACACATCCTCATCGAATGGAGAAAAAGCTGCATGCGGTCCCAGCAGGAAATACGGTTAAGTTCCGCTGTCCAGCTTCAGGAAATCCCACCCCTTCAATAATCTGGCTGAGGAATGGGCGGGAATTCCGTGGGGAGCATCGTATTGGAGGAATTCGGGTAAGACCTAGATGGATTGGATTGTTCTTTCCTCCCCTACCTTTTCTTTCCATTCTCTTGGTTAGCCCACCAGGTTTTGTGAATTAGGGCTTTGGGTAGAGAGAAGTATAGAAACATGTAATGTAGAGGAAATGGAAGTCAAACTATTCATGATGAAAGCCATGTGCAGAGCTACCAAAGTCTTAAATACTAGCTATAGCCCTGGTCTCTTTTTAACTCTCCCTGTCCTAAATCACCCAGAACAATACAGGTAGTCCTCAATTTACAACAGTTCAGTTAGTGACAGTTCAAAGTTACAATAGCATTGAAAAAAGTGACTTACAACCCTTTTTCACACTTAACAACTGTTGCAACATCCATGTAGTCACATGATCAAAAGCAAATGCTTGACAACTGACTGGTATTTATGATGGTTTCTGTGTCCCGGGGTGTGTGTGTGTGTCATGTGATCCTCTTTTGCAACCATCTGACAAGCAAAGTCAGTGGGAAAGCAAGACTCACTTAACAACAGTGTTACTAATTTTAACATCTGCAGAGATTCACTTAACCACTGGAGCAAGAAAGGTTGTAAAAGGAGCAAAATTCACTTAACAAATGTTTCACTTAGCAACAGAAATGTTGGGCTCAATTTGTGGTCGTAAGTCGAGGGCTACCTGTATTTCCTAAGTTTGCCCCAAGCTTGAAGTAGCCATGTCTGAGATATGAGATTCTGTTAGACTTACGCTTAGGAAAAATTGACAGCTCTGCAAAGCAAAGGATGCTCCAGTGATAATGGTAGCTTGCATCACTTTTTCTGTTCCCAGCTCAGGCATCAACACTGGAGTTTGGTCATGGAGAGTGTGGTACCTTCCGATCGAGGCAACTATACTTGCTTGGTGGAGAACAAATTTGGCAGCATTCGCTACAGCTACACTCTGGATGTGCTGGGTGAGAAGGCCTTCCTTTGCCAAACCTTGAATGGGACCCTAGTATTCTTTAATGGAAAGCAAACAGAAAGCAAGGGGGAACATGTCGGCCATAAGAACACAGTCAGACTCTGTATTAAGGAGAACAATTCAAAGATATAAAATGGAACACAGTTGAAAATGAAATGGACCATTTCCATTTTCAGAAGTTCCTAGTCCCTGTTCTGATGAATGCTTGTGAGTTGGGGGCGGGAGGGGCAAAAACTCCAGGTATTGGCAGCCTGCCATTTTCCTTAGGAAGGCAGAGGCACCGCCCTGACCTCAGACTCCCCAGATTGGTGGGGGGAGCCCGAATCCTCTGCTAGCTTCAAAGGAAGGCAAAGATCTCTTGGGCCATAAAGTCAGATGAAATTAATTAACCCTGCCTGAATCACTAGACAGGGCATTAAGCACTTGCTTTCTTATCTCTACATTCTTTATTATCAGTCTCCTCTGGGGTTACTCTTAATCGGCCCAGAGTCTCTGGAGCCAGCCCTGGCTGGGAGGTCTTCCTGTGGTATTATGTAATATCAGAAGGATAGCAAGTTCTGCTGATCTATGGGTGGGGAAGAAATTATGAGTCCCCAAAGTTCTGCGGCAAGGCCATTAATAGTGCTGTGTTAAGAAAATTGCAAACTCCTTACTATTAGAGGGCGTATTTTAGCTGATTTTGCTTTGTACTGTTGGCCTGCTCTGAATCACGTTGAGTGATTAGCAATAGCAGTTAGACTTATATACCGCTTCATAGGGCTTTCAGCCCTCTCTAAGTGGTTTACAGAATCGGCATATTGCCCCCACAGTCTGG